AAGTTGCTGTGAGCTAGGCTGAGGCCATGGCACTCTAGCCTAGGCAACAGAGTGAGAGTCTGTCTCAAAACAAAAAAACTAAAAAAACCATAGTCCTGGCACCTTCTTTGATGCTGATGGGAGACTAAAGATTTAAAGCCTAGAGACTTACTGGAGGCCTATGGCTAGGAGGGAGAAACTTTACATCAGGATTCTGACAGTGTGTCTCACCTAAGCCCATGGGCTGACCTATAGACCTTAGTATGGTTTTGTCAATTGTGCCAATAGCATGCTTTATAGCAAAAGAAAATCCAGCACCGTGTGTTGCATTCAGTTGTCTCTTTATCCAAGTTTTGAAGCATCTCTGAGCTGGCCAGTGGGTACTGGTGGAGGAGGGTCAAAGTAGGGGCCTTTTCCATTTGCTTCCATCAGCCCAGCTTCCCAGGAGTGCTCTCTTGTCCCTCTGGATGAGACAAGAAGAGCTGGGGCTTCTACCTCCCTTATGAGGATTAGAGAATGGAATTATGGGAGCAGAAGAGGCTTGGTTTCTTCTATACCAAAGTCAGGTATGTTCTCCTTTTTCTGTTTGTTAAAGGAACTGGCTAACTCAAGGCCAGCTACAGCCTGGAATGTGCGTCTTGATCCCCCATTCTTGGTGCTGCTGCTGAGGACTCAGTGTAAACCTGGAGGCCTGGGCAGTGCCTGTGGCTCAAGGAGTAGGGCACTGGCCCCATATATTGGGGGTGGTGGGTTCAAGCCCGGCCCTGGCCAAAACTGCAAAAACAGACAAACAAACAAACAAACCTGGAGGCCCTATCACTATCTGGGGTTGTTGAAGTCTTTTTTTCCTCAGGTTATTCTGTAAGTCACCTGTGTTCCTACAGGATGACCCTTCTTAATTAGATACCATTTCTAACGCTTTAGGGGATATTGCCTGAATATAGTATGTTTATATTAATAACAAGAGGAACAGTTTATTTCAGGCTTAATATAATTACCTTGTTTAACTTTTACAACGATATGAAATATAGTTACCCATTTTACAGATGAGAACAACTGAGGCTGAAATAGTTCTAATTATAGATTGAGTATCCCTAATCTAGAAATCTCGTATCTTTTTTTTTTTGAGACAGAGTCTCAAGCTGTTGCCCCCAGTAGAGTGCTGTGGCATCATAGCTCATAGCAACCTTCAACTCTTGGGCTCAAGTGATCCTCTTGCTTCCACTGTTCTACTTTTAGTAGAGATGGGGGTCTCATTTTGCTCAGGCTGGTCTTGAACTTGTGAGCTCAAGCTATCCACCCTCCTCAGCCTCCCAGGGTGGTAGGATTACAACAGGCATGAGCCACCACACCTGGCCTAGAAATCCCAAATCTCAAATGTTCCAAAATCAAACTTTTTGAGCACTGACATGAAGCCGTAAGTGGAAAATTCCACACATGACCTCGTGTGACAGGTAGCAGTCAAAACACAGGCACACACAGTTTATTTGGCATCCCCGGGGGAAAAAAGACCCTCTGATCTCCCTTCAGCTGTGATATATCTTTTCTACTAGTGATGAGATTTCACCAAGTAAGCATACCTACAAATGGTAATAAAATGGCATGTATGCAGGCCAGATGCACTAATGGCAGGCTCCCCAGGACACCCCACACGAGGCCAAGACATATGTGCATTATTCACTGACTGTTTTTGCTTTTTCTCTGCTAGGATGTTAAGATATTGTTGAAAATGTCAAAAAGGCCTGCAGATAACTCTATGGGTAACAGTGATACGAAAAAGAGGAAGCATTTACGTTGATAGCATAGAAAGTCGTTATGTTGATAGCACAGAAAGTTAAGCCATTGGAGAAAGTGGACAGCAGCATGTGAAACATCTTACAGAAGAATATGGGGTTGGAGCAGCCACCATATAGACCTGAAAAACAGAAGGATAAAGGGTTGAAGTTCCCTGCTTTAAGTGATGAACAGAAGTTAATGAAAACCAGAAAATGCATAAAGCTAAAAATGAAGATCTCAGTTTCATATTGAAAGAGTGGATTCATCAGCACAGCAGTGAGCACATGCCTCTTAACAGTGTGCCAATCATGGAACAGGATCTATCACTATGAACTGAAAATTGAAAGGAAGGTCAATATCCAACAGGCTGATTGCAGAAAAAAAATGTTTTTTGAGATAGAGTCTCACTATATCACCCTTGGTAGAGTGCCGTGGCATCACAGGTCACAGTAACCTCAAACTCTTGGGTTAAAGTGATTCTCTTGCCTCAGCCTCCCAAGTAGCTGGGACTACAGGTGCCACAATGCCTGGCTATTTGTTGTTGTTGTTGTTGTCATTGTTGTTTAGCAGGCCTGGCCCAGGTTTGAACCCACCAGCCCTGGTGCATGTGGCCGGCACCTAACTACTGAGCTACAAGTTGCAGAAATTTAAGAAAAGACATGGCAAGGAATTTTTGAATACTTGTGGTGTGATAAAGCATCTGCTGGTATTAAGGGAGCAGAGAAATTCACTGATGAGTTTTCCAAGGTCCGTGGTGATGAAAATCTGACACCAGAACGAGTCTATAATGCTGACAAAGCATCGCCGTTTTAGCATTATTACCTCCCCTCAAAAAAACATTACAGCTGATGCCACAGCCCCTGCAGGAATTGAACATGCCAAGGACAGAATAACTGTGCTGAGATGTGCTAATGTAGCAGGTGGGCATAAGTCTAAATTTGCAGTGATAGGCAAAAATTTACGTCTTCACTGTTTTCAAGGAGTGAATTTCTTGCCAGTCCATTATTATGCTAACAAAAAGGCATGGACCAACAGAAATATATTTTCTCATTGGTTTCAGAAATATTTTGTACTAGTGGCTCATGGTCACTGTAGGGAAGCTGGACGGGATAATAAGTGCAAGACTGTTATCCCTTGACAACTGTTTTGATCATCCTTCAGTTGAAATTCTCATCAAAAATAATGTTTGTAGGCTGGGTGCAGTGACCTCACACCTCTAATCCCAGCTTTTTGGGAGGTCGAGGAAGAATTGCTTGAGCTCAGGAGTCAGAGACCACCCTGAGCAAGAGCTGGATCCCATCTTTACTAAAAATAGAAAAATTAGCTGGGCATCATGGTGCAAGCCAGTAGACCCAGCTACTTGGGAAACTGAAGCAGGAGAATCACTTGAGCCCAGGAGTTTGAGCTATGATGATGCCACTGTGCTCCACACAGGGTGACAGAATGAGATTCCATCTCTAAAAACAAATAGAAAGTCAGGTGCAGTAGTTCACACCTATAATCCTAAGTACTCTGGAAGGCCAAGGCAGGTGGATTGTTTGAGCTCAGGAGTGATAGACCCTGCCTCTACGAAAAACAGTCAGGTGTTATGGCAGGCCCCTGTAGTCCCAGTTACTTGGGAAGCCCAGGCAAGAGGACCTCTTGAGCCCAAGAGTTTGAGGTTGCTGTGAGCTATGATGCCATGTACTCTACCCAGGCGACAAAGTGAGACTGTCTCAAAAACAAACAAACAAACAGAAAAAATACAATATTGTAGATGGAGACTGAAAGCCCACTATTGTTGGTTGTTGGTATTGGTTAGCAGCTGATGCAGGTAGTCTGGTAATGTTACCTTGCTGCTTAATTACCCTGAACACATTTTTTCATTGTATTAATGGAACGTCATATATTTTAATAACAAGTACTTATGTATGAATAAGTGTAAGAAAATGATTGCTTAATGGTATCAGATAAATTTAGAGTCAGGAATGATGGCAATTACAGATTGTCCACATGGGTGGCTGAGACAGTGACATCTTTGCTGTGGTTCAGTGTACACAGACTTTCTTTCCTGCACAAAATTATTAGCAATATTGTATAAAATTACCTTCAAGCCGTGTGTGTAAGGTGTATATGAAACCTAAACGAGTTTTGTGCTTAGATTTGCTTCCCATCACCAAGACATCTCATTACGTAGATGCAAATATTCCAAAATCTGAAATACAAAGCACTTCTGGTCCCAAGCATTTCAGATTAAGGATACTCAACCTGTAGTAACTCGCTCAAGTTCATATAGCTATTAGCTAGTCAAGACAAGATCAGGTCTACCTATCTTCACAGCTCAGCACTCTTCAGCCACCACTCTGTTCGATTTGTATAAATTCTATTTGTTTGCATTGTTAGGGAATACATTTGCATGATAACTTGCATAATTAATTTCATGTCGTTTGGGAAGTCTCATCACTCGAGAACCAGCAGAATCCTGAGATTGTGTAGGAAAGGGGAGATGTCAACGGGATGGGGAAACACAGAAATGCCAGCTCAGCGAACTGTCAAAAACTATTACTGGAAAACCTGAGTGCCGGTGAGTCGCGTCACCTGCAGTTGCGGGCACCAGCCACAAGGAGGAAGCCAGCGCTGCACCACCGGGCCAGACGCGCCTCTCTTTCTCTCTCACCTCGCTGTTGAGCCTGGAAAAAGAGCCCGCCTCCTAACCCATAAGGCCCTGGGGCGGAAGTTCCACTTTCTCTTCCTGTTTTCCATCATGGCGGTGAGTGGTTGAACCATAGATTTGCTTTTTTCATCTGTCGCCATCCATGGCCTGCTGAGCGCGCGGTGGCTACCTCGCCCGCGGCCTGAGGAGGACGGAGCCTGTGATGCCAGCCAGACCGAAACTGGCAGATATGTGGGGGTCGAGGGCGTGGGGCTGGACTCTGTCACTCCCCTCCCGTCCTCCTAGGAACTGGCTCGGTTCAGCTGCTTGGAGGGTTGAGAGACGTGGCCTGTAGCGAGGGCACAGGGAGCGAAAGTTTAGGGACACAGGCTCCGGGCCTTTTCCCGGCCCCGGGAGCGTGAGGGCTGCCCGGTCCTAGGGAACCATAGCCGGTTCCTCCTCCTAAAAGGAAGGGTCCAATTTGCAGACAGATTGAAGGATGTCGCATAACCACGTGTGCCCTGGTCCCTCAGCACTTCAGTTCTCTTCCTTACCCCTTAGCTGGACTTACAGTGGGAGCGCTCTTCGTTAGGCGGGTTCATCTTCAATGTCTGTAACTTTAACACTCAGTGCTTGTCCTGAGTTTCTTCACACGTTCCGTGAGTGGAGGAGGAGAACCCGAGTTGACTCACTCCTTGATGCTTCCCAGACAAACCCAGATCCTTAGGACGACATATTACAGACTCTGAGGGCTCGCTTTACGATTCGAAATGAGCGGAAATGAATATGCCCTGGAAATTGAAAGTAGTAAAAATCTTGGGGTCTCAGCTGTGATGGGGTCTAGTTAACTGCTGGTGGTTTCTCGTTGCAGCAGGATCAAGGTGAAAAGGAGAACCCCATGCGGGAACTTCGTATCCGCAAGCTCTGCCTCAACATCTGTGTGGGGGAGAGTGGGGACAGACTGACCCGGGCAGCCAAGGTGTTGGAGCAGCTCACAGGCCAGACCCCTGTGTTTTCCAAAGGTGAGTAGTGGCTGGAATGGCCACTCTTTGCCTGGTTGTCTCTTCATTCTCCTGCTGTCAGGCCTCTTTAGTGACGGATGGCATCCCTTTAAACTCACGAGCTAACCTGTTGAGATTGGAATGTGAATTTGGAGTACCTAATTTTATGTGAGCAGATTTTAAGACTAACCCAAGTAAAGATTTTTCAACTAAGATGTGAGGCAGAGTTGAAATGTTAGGGAGTATAGTAAAGGGCATTAGAACTAGTGATTACAAACTGTGTTAAGAACAGGGAGCCTGGGTTTGGCCCTGACCTCAGCCGCTTCCTTATTTGCATTAAGGGGACAATAATACTTTGTAAGATGGTGGAGGATAAAGTAAGTTGGTATATGCGAAGTTAGTATAAGTTGCGTTGCTTTAGGATAGTTAAATATGGGAAGTCCTTGGGTTCAGGTCTTTTTCTTGTTTCCAGCTGTGATCTTGCCGAGTTAATGAACCTTTCAGAACCTAACCTGTAAAATAGGGATAGCAGTGTGAATAAAGTTTCAGCAAATGTTCGCTGTTATCAATGTTTTGTTTTCTTCGGAACACAGTGATAATTTTACTAGTGGCCTCTTTGGCCTGTTCTGGTTGTGAGCGTGCCCTTCCTGAGACTTAGGCACTGTGGCTTAGAGCTCTAAATTGCTGAAATACGGGATGATGACTGGAAAAGGGAAAGTTTTCTGTGCTATAGATGAAATTTACTAATCAGCATAGGTGACACTGGCTAGAACATCACCACTTTGAGTGTGAGGGGGTACTAATGTCCCTTTGAGTGGTGGAGATGGTATTCTGGGTTAGAGGTGAGTACGGTGGGAGTATGACAACTCCTGACTCCTTGTAACCTCCCTGCTCGCAGCTAGATACACTGTCAGATCCTTTGGCATCAGGAGAAATGAGAAGATCGCAGTCCACTGCACAGTCAGAGGGGCTAAGGCAGAAGAAATCCTGGAGAAAGGTCTGAAGGTAAGGCTAATTCCTTTGTGGGGTTATCTGTGCCTTGGTATGTGTTTATTTAAGCTTCTAAAAGGCTTCTGCACTCAGCAGGAGTAAACAATATTTTTTCTTAAGCACTTTGAAAGATGCCTGGGAATCATTTTGATGCCTCTACTTTCTCTGGGTTTTTCTCTGTTGGAGAAGTTGGAAAAATTCCTTGAAATGCATAGTGAGGGTGTGATTTTGGTGTACTCACCAGCCACGTTTTTGTGCTTTTGCTCTTGGGTACTGGATGTTGCCGGTTGAGCTAGTTATTTTGGGAAGGATTAAAGATAACAAGGAATATTGCTGCTGTGTTTTTCTCCTCAGGTGCGAGAGTATGAATTAAGAAAAAATAACTTCTCAGATACTGGAAACTTTGGCTTTGGGATCCAGGAGCACATCGATCTGGGTATCAAATATGACCCAAGCATTGGTATCTACGGCCTAGACTTCTATGTGGTATGGATATTTAATCTTTTCCTATTCCTGGTCTATGAGGAGAGGGGACTTTTCCTTTATTCCATATGTACTATCTTGATGCTCAAATGTTGGATTGAAGCTTTGCGTATTGTCTGCCTGTGTGTTTTCCCTCTTGGGAAGATGTGCCTTGTATGTGGTAGGTGTAGGGGTACAGCACTGAGCAAGATGGGAAAGACCCTGATGTTGTGAGCTAATAGTCCAGTATCTGTAAAGCACCAACGTGGCTTAAAGGTGGATGAAGAAAACTGTTCAGCTAGCCAGTGATTTGAAAATTTTGGGAGAGGTGGTACTAATCTTCCTTTTGGCCTGTGGGTTGACTAAACTAAGAACCTTCCTAATGCCACAGTGTATTTTCATTGTTAAAAAGGGGTGGAGAGCCACAGGTTGGTAACTGGCTGCCTTAGACCCTAGGAGTGTGATAACCAGCCCCAGGCCATAGGTTTGGGTGGTGCAGTAGTTTGCTCAGGATGGGGAATATTTTTTTTTTACTGCATTTTTTGGCTGGAGCTGGGTTTGAACCCACCACCTCTGGCATATGGGGCTGGCGCCCTACTCCTTTGAGCCACAGGCACCGCCTTGGGATGGGGATTGTTTTTATTTATTTATTTATTTATTTTTGAGACAGAGCCTCAAGCTGTCCCCCTGGGTAGAGTGTCGTGGCATCACAGCTCTCAGCAACCTCCAACTCCTGGGCTCAAGCTGGGACCACAGGCGCCTGCCACAATGCCTGGCTATTTTTTGGTTGCAGCCATCATTGTTGTTTGGCAGGCCCGGGCTGGATTTGAACTCACCATCTTAGGTGTATGTGGCTGGCGCCTTCACCACTTGAGCCACAGGCGCTGAGCCTGGGATGGGGATTTTTAATGAAGAAATGATGGTTTGTGTTACTGAATATCCAAACTCTTGGATACTCAGAAGGAGTTTGGGGGTGTGTGCGCGCATGCACTTCTCCATTTTCAGTTTTCTATAAAGTACATGTTGCAATAGTTTTTTTTTTTTTTTTTTTTTGAGACAATGTCACTCTGTTGCACTCTACTGTGGCATCATCATAACCCACAGCAACCTCAGCCTCCTTAGCTCAAGCATTCCTCTTAACTCAAGCCTCCTAAGTGGCTGGGACTACAGGCGCCCACCATGATGCCTAGATAGTTTTTCTTTTTTTTTTTTTTTAAGAGACAATGTCTTTCTGTTGCACTCTACGGAGGCATCATCATAACCCACAGCAACCTCAGCCTCCTGAGCTCAAGCATTCCTCTTAACTCAAGCCTCCTAAGTGGCTGGGACTACAGGTGCCCACC